GGAACCAATCATCCTGCTGCCCTTAAAGATTCTTTAAGAATTCTGCTGCCCAGAAAGAGAGCAGATGGAGATAGCCAGGAGCTTAACTCAGTGCAACTCGGTCCGCTCTATGCCAGGCCACCTGCAAAGGAGATACTGGACCAGTCTTTCCCATTCTCCTACCTTGACTGCCATCTCTGGTGGAATAGCAGAATGCTGCCCAGACAAAGCACTGGGCCAGACTGGGAGAATACACCCACACAATCTGCCATACCAGATTTGTCTTCTAAGGACTTAATATATTTTTATCCCACCTTATTTATGTATAACTCAAGGCAGCAAACACACCTAATACACCTGCCTCCTATTTTTCCCACCATAACAACTCTGTGGGATGGGTTGGCCTGAGTGACTGGCCCAAAGTCACCCAGCTGGCTTTCATGCCTAAGGGAGGCCTAGAACTCAGTCTTCTGGTTTCTAGGCCAGCACCTTCTCCACTACACCAAACTAGCTCTCATTCCCACAACCTGCTAACTGCAGATAGGAGAAACCTCAGCAATTTATTTAATCACTTCACATCCTCTAAATACATCATTAACTCATCTCTGACCGAGAAGGTACCCTCAATACATATTTTCCTGTTCCAATTTAAAACTATATTTTTAATATATGGTGTATATATAATACAATATAGCTATCTTTTCAACTTCCCGTCATCTACCTGTTTCATCTTTTATCAAGGTAACATGGGCACGACAGCCAGAGGCTGCTGTGAATATGCCCCTGCCCCAATCCCTACCTACTGATCTTCAGGGCCATTTGCCTTTTGGCAGTGGAAAAGGTCTGGACTCACCCACTGAGTCAAACAGCCATGTCTCCCCCTTTTTGTGCCAACTCTTCCACACCTGGCAGCAGATCTCAGGTAGCTAGGAGGGATGACAAAAAAAGTATGTTTTGGCAGCTGCTCTTTAATCACCAGTTCTCCTATCCCAATTCTGTGGGATCAAAGAACTCTTGGGGAAAGAGGAGTTACTGTTCACTGCCACCCCACATCCAGGGTAAGATTGCCCACCTAACCCTGGTAGATTCAGCATAGCACTGGCTAATTAGTGGGGTTGGGTGGGTACAGCTTTTAACCCACTTCCAGCAGTCTTCCACAACACTATTATTACCATATATCCTCACGGATAAGCTGAGAATTTTAGGTGCCAAAATACACCCAAAAAATCAGGTTTGGCTTATCTGCAGGTGGGCACATCCACAAGCATATATACTTTTTTAAAGTACCTGTACATATTTACAGATAAGCCCCTCTGCAGATAAGCCAACCTTTGAATTTTTAACCAAAATACCATGAAAAATGTGCCACCCCCAGAGAAGCCAATTGTGAAAATTAAAACATACACAAACTCCAAAGGTCAGCTTATCTGGGGGTGGCACATTTTTCATGGTACTTTGGTTAAAAATTCTAGGGTTGACTTATCCGCGGATGAGCTTGTCTGCAAGTATATATGATATGTGCCAAGATGTATCCTCACCAGTGGATTACAAGCTACACTGCTTACTCCACACGTAGGGCCAGCATTACTGGAGGACAGAAAGTTGGGAGTGGGTCTCTTCTGTCAGTTCTCCAATCTCACCGCATAATCATTTTCAGGGAGAAGTGGCAAAAAGGAAAGGTCCTCTCCCGCTTCTCTTATCATCCATGGAGAAGGGAGAAGCAGGGGGAGGAGGAGAATTGGGCTCGGAAGTTCAGTCAGCACATTTTTACCCCACTCTACATTCTGCTCCCTCCGCAGTGAAGAGAGCCTGAAGTCACCAAGACTGTGAACGAAAACATTCAGGAACTTGTGACGCCGCCCGCGTTTCCCTCCCGCTTCTCTGCTGCAATTAGGGTAGGCGTTTTTGTTTCCTTCAGTGCCGTGCAAACGCGTACGAACAGCACCGCCCTTGCTCCCCGCTGGAGGAGATTTGCTACAGAGATAAAGAAATAGAGAGAGAACAGCACCTCCTCGGTCCACAGCGAACCGCAGCCTTCTGAAGCGCTACTTCCGGAACCTCAAAGGAACGGTTAGGAAGTTGCCATAGAAACAGGAATGCTAACTTGTCCTCGAGGCCGAGAAAGAGAAGGACGTCCCCGCCGCCGGCCTCAGGTCTGACCAGTTTCTGGTGCCTCCACGGACCGGCGCGCAGCGCTTTTTCAGTCGGCTCGGGGAAGAGGGCCGTTCGTAACCCCCTTTCTCTCACTCGTTGCCCGGAAGCACTTGTGACGTCGTCAATTCGCTTTCGCGGAAGTGACGGCTGCGTGAGGCGAGCCTGGTCCAAAGGAGGAAGGACGGGATGCGGAATATCCCGTCCCAGAGAGCGACGAGGTTGGTGTGCTAGGACTCCGCCGATCCCAGCAGAGGCCTGCGCGCTTAGCTAGGAAACGGAGCGGCGCCGTCGTCCTCTCCCTTCGAGGTGGGGGAAGCGGCCGGCTGGGTCTTCTCCAGGTGCCCATGGCCTCGGGCGCCGCCAGATCCATAGAGCTCTTCGCCTCCTGCCTGTCTTCCCTGCATCCTGGAGGCTCCCTCTTCGTGCCACAGTAGTCGACGCTGTGCGTTTCTCTAGAAAATCCCTGGGGTGGGCGGAAAGGGCTCCGCATATGTAGGAGGGTCTCCCTTCGAAAACTTTTCCTCGCTGCCTCATGCATGAGGCTGGGGAATTTCTGAGATCTTTCCAAAAGGACATTTCGCCTCGCTGTTCCGAAATAGGGCTTTCCCCTCCCCCCTTAAATGACTCTGGTGGCAGGGGAGGATGGGAGTTACAGCTTTGCCTTTCCGGACTGCTCCAGACTGGGAAAGGTTGGTCCTAGTTAATGACGTGATAGTCTCCCTGAGATTAGTTTGCTTTACCCTAGCCCCTATCCAAATCGCCTCCACAACTATTTTTAACCCAAAATATGCTGGAAGATCAGAGCTTGGATCTTCTGTAATACTTCAGGTTTGGTCTGAAGAGGGCCACTTGAAAGGGATTGCCGCTATGGTTTCACCAGTTAGTTGGGTGAAGTGCTGGCTCAACTTCCAAAAGTGTCTGACAGTGTAGTTCTTACAGTCACATTTTCCTAAGCCTTACTAGCCAGTAAAATAATGCTTACTAAAATATTTAATACCTTGAATAGAATTTGTTAACAGTAGGAACATTTCAAAACAAATATAGTAGTAATTGAAATAGTTACTGTTTGAACTTCTTTATTTTCTATCCTAGCTCCATTACTAAATCCTGTGGGGATTCTTTGTTATAAAACAGTTCCTGATCTAAAGTTGAAAAGAGATGGCTTATGTAAGAGACATTTTCTTCAAGAAGTTGATCCTTAGGTATGAATGCATCAGCTGCCTTTTGTGTTTCTATTAGCATATATTACCAAGTAGTTTCTCCAGTCAATTCTGTATCTGGTTTGATTATGTACATTAAACTAGATTGGTAATAAATATCTTAGCTCATACCCAGAAATTAATCGGGTCTAGAAAAAAATATTGGCTTATTTCAGGAATACTATATGCTTTTTTTAGAGTAAACACACACACACACACACACACACACACACACACACAAAAGCCTTTGTGATATTCAGTTCTACCACTATTAATGCATTATTAGAGTGAGTTGAGGCAATTTGCACTGTTAAGCTATCACTAGTAGATATTTTAACTCTTTTTGTGAAAAGATTATGTAGAACTGAAATAAGGTGTAGTTGGGTTTCTCAAGTTTTTCTGTAGGATATATTTTGAAAGATTTTGAAACATTGATTGCATGAGGCCAATTTTGTTTTCTCCATGCTATTATTGTAAAATATAGTATGGCTACTTGTATAGTTCTTTTGTATTATACAGAGCATCTCTGTTGACATTCCTAAGAATTTTCACTAATAATGTAGAGAGTCAGAATACCACCATGGTATTAAAAAATAATGCTAAAAAATTAGGGCAATTGTTTTATTTGCTTACTTTAAGATCAAACATTTAAGGATTTTGTAGTTAAGCAAATTGAAAGGCTGCATATAATTCCAAGCAATGGCTTAACATTATATGCACAGTCTGCAACAAATTTGATTTAAACCTGACTTATGGACCCTCCCCTACGGTAGAAGTGACTGTGTAACTTTGTTTTATAGAATTCACAGTTAGTATAACCTAGAAACCAATTGCTGTCTTGTAAAACAAGCTGGTCAGCTTCAAATAAATCAGTTTCCAACATGGTTTCTGAATCTGACTTGTTTATTTAGCCCAAAAGTGAACATTAACCTAAAATTAAACACTGTAGAAACTGAGAACATGTGAGAAAGTAGGAAGAGTATCTCATTCCCATCTGTGTTGGATTCTAGTTTTTGAGTCTGCCTATCTTCTTATGAGTTTGATTTTCAGGGCACAGTTAAATGATTCTTATGAAGCTGTAGGTAAAACTCATCAGACTTAGTAGCTGAAAAATTAATGAAGCCTGCAGAATATTTTTTAAAAATCTAGATTCCTGATCACTCACCACCGGAAATCTTTTATCTCTTTGTCAGTTATTACAGTAAAACAATTATAGGACAAGCAACACCTTAATCATATATTTTGCAGGGCTGGAGTAATGACAGGAATCAACAGTTGGCGTGAATCTTTTTAAAAAATGAGTGAAGAAAAGAAAGGAGCCAGAATAAAATTAATACTACTGTTGTAGTTGTTCATTTCCAAGATTAGTGGATAGATGGATGGTAAATAGATGAAGTAGTCCCAAAGGAATCAAGCATTTAAATATTCTATGACTGCAACTGTGTTAGTAGTTTATAGTAGTTGACAATAGGATTGAAATATTGCTACTTTTAGTGTGCTGGGTTATCAGGCACTTAAAAGTTTTTTTTTCTTGGCAATCCTAATTACCGTATTTGTTAGTACATCTGATAAAAGTACATTTGTTTTATATAAGAATACTATATTTATTTTTATTTATTTATTTATTTATTTATTTATTTATGAGAAGGTAGCACTTCTGAGAGGTAGTTTAATTATCCTATGCACAAAACCATAATTATGCTTTTAAGCACCAACCCTGCAGGGGCTGAAGAAAAATATTTCAGATTCATGGGTGCTGATATAATGCTTCTAGATTCCTGAATGATGAGGTGCTTGTGATATTTCCCCAAGCCGTTTTTCAGTACATCATTAGACTGCAGCATTTGAGTATCTAAAATATTTTTCTGTATGACATTGGCTAGGATTTGTGTGATTCGATAGGAGAATGGAAGGCACATCAGTTTGTTTGGTGTAGTTTCTGGTTCTCTGATCCAACTGCAGTCTGTTCCGATCCAGTGCTGTTCTTGATGGTCCCTTAACTGTGAGCACCTGGTTTGGGGGAGTATAAGGATATTGCAGCAGGAATGGTCATCTGATTCTCAAACAGTTTTTAGCGGGGTAGGAAGCTGCGATGGGCTGGATGAGACAGGAAACCCTGCTGCATATCCATAGTTCTGCTCATACTACTTTGGATGAAAACATTATCTGGTTGTAGGCTTTATTGGTAGCCCTGGAGGTTTTTTTTAAACAGATTTTGCTAAAATTAGAGTAAATAGATTTGGCCATAAAGCTTTGAAGTGTGTATAATCACTATTATGCTAATATAGATACTATTGTAAGATATGGTTGTATTTAAAATGTTTCTTTTAATCAATTCTACAGGTTCAGCACTTATTATTAAGCTTCTACTGAAGAATCTTATTAATCTATTTAAAAATATTCATATACTGCCATTCAACCTAGAAGGCTGCCAGAGCACCTTATATGTTCATTGAAGTCAGTAAATACCCTCAGGCCTATAGTTTAAATGATGCAACACAGAAGGGAAAAAGGGATGTTAAGAGAAAAGAATGAAAAGGCACTTGAGCTTAATCAGGCACTTGAGCTTAATATGAAGGTTTGTGTCATCAAAATATATCATTTTCTCATAATCTGCATTTAAATATGATTAATAGTTAGAAATTTTATCCCTGAAATGTAGTAGGTGAGATTGTAACATGATCATTCCAGGAAGCATTAGTGAAGAAGTTTCACTCCTCAAAGACCCATTGCTTTTGTAAGAATACATAGCTTTGTGAAAGTTTAAAAAAGATGGAAAAGACTCTTGGTTATCTCACATATTTTAGAAAGAGAATACAACTTTTGTCACCCCTAGGTTTGAAAAGATTTCTTTTTCCTACAGATTTTTTAAAAAATAGTGCAAATACTTGCTGGCCTGGAAATCTGCCCTACAAAGCAACCAAGCTTGATGTACCATTACCTATACATTCCTACTTAAAGAACATCTTGCTATGCTACATCTTACATCTACATGTGGAGCAGTCCAGATTGTGCATCTTATGTTCTATATGCTGTGGCACAGTTTCAGCATAAGTGGGAAGATCTAAAGAGGCTTCTTGTCCCAGCCCTGGTATCTGTTGAATTGGCAGGAAGAGAGGAGATCACAAGATATAGAAGTCTGAAGAAACACTTAGGTCTTGAATGGCAGGATTACCTAAACCTAAGTTATAAGCTGGAGTGGTGTTGTATCAGGGTGAGGAGTCAGCTGCTACCTATACATGCACTCAGTAAGCCTGGTAGGATTCTGAGTTCTCAGGGCTGCTTTCTTAATAGATGGAGCAGCTAGGTGCATATATTTTATTAATCAGTTGTTTGGGTTAACCATGATTTATTAAATGAGCCACAATTTCTGGGTTAGCACAGCATACTGAGCCAGAAATTATGGTTTCTAAACTATACTTAATGCAACACTCAGCCATAATGTGGCTTATTTTATTTTGGTTGAAGTATTATATTAACCCAACCAGTGTGGGGTTTCTGGCAGGAGACAATTACCAGCCTATTGCAAAGAAGATATCATTCATCTGCAATTGAATATTTCTTACATGAGCTGGGATATTATCCCAATTCTTCACTTGTATTCCTTTGTTCTGTAGCACTGTGTGATCTCAGCCATTGTGCGGCTCGCATCTCACATCTAGGCCGAAGGTGGTCCTTTCTTTTGCCTTCAAGTAATAGAACAGGAAAAGTCTGTGATACCTATTCCACTCCTAGATACTTGGTTGTACCATCTTATATCCACACTTGAGTTGAGGAATAGTGATGGTTCTTCAGGTTGTTTTTGAAATTCCTTTGCAAACACTGCACCTGTCTGTGTCTCATTAAAGGAGTCGAGGCTACTCTCATGCCTTTGGGAAGCACCTCTTCTGAACTGAATCCAAAGCATTATACAGCCCTGCTTTGTCCATTTACGTACTTTGGGATCCACCTTGTAATTTCTTTGAAAATTTTTAGATAGCATATTTTTCTAGTAAGATCATCTCTTTTGTAACCCATCCTTTCAATCTTTAATACAAAGCGTAATATGGTACTGAGGGCAAGAATAGGAGGGAGGTTGGTAAAAATCTGCTCCCTCAGTTGGTAGAGGTATGTTCAACTAAGGCATAGCCAAAGAAAGCCCATCCCTATTTTTGAGATCATATGGCAAGCAATGAAGGTCCTGTCTTGCTTCACACTAAGGCAAAACCAATATTGAACACAACGTTGCACTTATACATTAACTAGTGGCTCTGAGTTGCCAACTAATGAGTTCTAATTACTACTGCAAGTTGGTATGTCTGTACATGGATTTGACAGTAGGAAACTTGATTAAATCTAGTTAAATTGTGTTTCTCTTTTCTTTTGGGGTGAGTGGGGAAGATAACAAATTTAAATTTCATTTAAATTGCCTTGATTTAGGAGACATCAGTCAAAACCTAAGGAGAGAAAGGGCTGAAGCTCTCCACCTTCCTTACCTCTCTATTCTCTCTGTCTTTCATTTATAAATTTTTAAATTAGTTTAATTTCCTTATTAATTTGTTAAATTAATTTGTTAAATTAATTAAATATACTTTTCAAGTGCCTTAGATGAGACATTTAATTTGTTTTATTTTTAAAAAACATTGCTCTTTTATTACCAGAGCAATCTAATTTTTGTGATATATTACTCTTACCATTTGTTTTGCTTTACTTTTTTTTTTTCTTTTGGTTCATGTTGTTTTAAGCCTAAGTGTATTTTCTTCTTTCAGGATTCATATGGACTAGAGATTCATTGGCTACTATAATGGAAAAATCATGGATGCTTTGGACTTCCATTGAAAAATGGCTGCTTGCTTTGGTGTCATGGTCCTGGGGTGTCTGCCGTATTTCTCTCTTACCTTTGATAGTGACTTTTCATTTGTATGGTGGCATGATTTTACCTCTGTTAATATTTGTATCTATCACAGGTATACTATATAAATTCCAGGATGTGTTGCTTTATTTCCCTGAGCAACCTTCTTCATCACGGCTCTATGTTCCCATGCCTACTGGCATTCCACATGAGAATATCTTTATCAAAACCAAAGATGGTGTGTTGCTCAATCTAATTCTTCTCAGATTCACAGGGGATAATTGCTCATATTCTCCTACTATCATTTATTTTCATGGGAATGCAGGCAACATTGGGCACCGACTTCCAAATGCTTTACTGATGCTGGTAAACCTGAAAGTAAATTTATTATTGGTTGACTATAGAGGCTATGGGAAAAGTGAAGGAGACGCAAGCGAGGATGGCATCTATTTAGATTCCGAGGCTGTTCTAGACTATGTGATGACTAGATCAGATCTTGATAAGACAAAAATTTTTCTTTTTGGCCGTTCGCTGGGGGGAGCAGTTGCTATTCACCTGGCCTCTGAAAATTCTCATAGGATTTCTGCTATCATGGTGGAGAATACATTCCTTAGTATCCCGCATATGGCCAGCACTCTGTTTTCTTTCTTCCCTATGAGATACCTTCCTTTATGGTGCTATAAGAACAAGTTCCTGTCTTATAGAAAAATATCTCAGTGCAGGATGCCTTCACTGTTCATCTCTGGACTTGCTGACCAACTGATTCCTCCAGTTATGATGAAGCAACTTTATGAACTTTCCCCTGCTCGGACTAAAAGATTGGCAATATTTCCAGATGGAACTCATAATGACACTTGGCAGTGTCAAGGCTACTTTACTGCACTTGAACAGTTTATCAAAGAAGTTATAAAAAGCCACTCCCCTGAAGAAATGGCAAAAATGTCATCTAATGTAACAATAATATAATTGTAATTCCAGTCTGTCTTTCTGATACAACTGCATTGTACCTGGATTTGTGGGAAGTGATAATTACCATTTTTAAAATGTGTATTCTGTCTGTATTTATCTTAAAAAGTGAAATTAAACATGGAGACATCTACTAACTTATGATCCAAGATAGTTTTTACACTCTGCATTGTAAACAAATAAAGCTTATATTTGTTTTAATAAAATTACTTTTAATACTTTCCGTTTTTTAGGAAAAGGCACTTTAACACATTTGTTGCTGAATTTTATGTTCTTCTGAATTTAAGAGAATAATGCAGTTCAGTGTAGTGCATATTTTGACTTCATCGATAAACATGGTTTGCAAAATATAGATGAGAACCAGTTTTCAGAGCATCACAGACAACCAGCTAGATACCAGATTAGTCTGTTACTAAAATGAATCTCTAATTTCAACCCCTGCTCCTGGTTGGTTAAGGCCTCCAGGGAGGGGCGTATGCAATTCCTACCACAGTAAGTGCTTCCTTGAGAGACAGGGTAGTCCTACCAGCTCTGAAAGAGGCAAAGGTCTCCCCCTGGATCTCTGAGATTTGGATGCTTTTCATCCAGTCTCCAGGCTTTCCATCTTGGGAAAAGCAGAGCATGTGGTCAGCCTGCTGCTCTGAAGGGTCCTAGAGGAGGCAGATGATCTGGCCCCCTTGCAGTCAGGTTTCAGATCATGGCATGGTTGTCAGAACCTGCATCACCCAACTGTTGTTGTTTTCCATTGTATTGCCTTTGTTGGGGGT